GTGAAGTGAGACGAAGGAGAGTCCCTCGTCTCCTATATTTTTCATCTCTCCGATTTGAATGGGTTGGTATGAATTATATTATTAATTTATTTTTAATTTTAATTTTTTAAGGTAAATATATAAATATTTTATTTTAATTATTTATTTAATTAATAAATTTTAAAAATTTATTTTTTTATTAAATTATTTAATTAAATAAAAATATTATTCTTTCCTCTCCTTTACTTTTATTTATTCAAATAAACTAATATTAATTTTTTCCTTCTATTCACTTCTCCTTTCGTTTCCTTTCCTTTCTTTTCTTTACTAATTAATTTTTATTCAAACGTAGGCTTTTGGTTTATGGAACCTTCAGCAATATAAATTGCCATCTCTCTTTAGGCTCCGATCTATAACTGACGTTATGCGTATTAATTTCAGTTTTTTTTTGGTTAGTTTAGGGCAATTGAATGTTGAAGAGTTTTTTTGCAGAAGCGGAAGGAAATGAAAAACCGAAGAGGAAAGAGAGAGAAAGAGGAAGGGTAAAAAAAAATTGAAAAGAGAATTTTTTTTTTCTTTTTTCTGCAATGTCATTAATTTTTGCTATGCTGATTATTATGTGTGTTAATATTTTGACGTGGCGTCATTCGTCTGTTACGTAACACAACATGTTAGTTATTTTTTTTTTACAGGATGGTTAATTTAAATTTAAATTTAAAAATTTTAGAAATTAAATTAAGAAATTTTTAATTAAAGGATCAATTTAAAATTTTATAAAATAATTGAGGGACTAAACTGAAATTTAACCTTTAAGAAAGCAGAGAGATTCCATCTTACACATAGGTACATTTGTGGCTGCATAGAAGGGAAAGCTACTGGACGTGCAACTTCAAATAGTAAGGATAGAGATTCCATCTTATGGAGAGAGAGGATGAAAGAAAAATAATTTTTTTATGTTTGATATTAAGGTATTTATAAGAGATGGTAAAGAATTATTTAAGATTATAATTCTTTTTATATTAGTATTGGATATTCATTTTAGCAGAATTTAACTTATTTAATTTTGATAAAAAAATTTTAAAATGCCTCTATGCATTTTAATTACTATAGCACTTAATTTAAAATATAACAGATTATACTGCATATATTATTAAAAAACTATATATTTCAAAAATAATTAAATTTAATAAGTTAATTGTAACTAACTTTTAAAACCGCTTTTAAAAATACAAATAATGTGCCAGAGGAAAGGAAAGTAGTGGATTCGTACAAGACAGGACATTTAGTGGGTAAAAAACAGAGGAGGGGAAAAGTAGTTATCTCGTACAAGATAGGACATCAGTGGTTGGTAAGAAACAGAGAGAAAGAAATGTCTTTTTTTTTATGTCAGACTGGATATTACTCCTACCATCGGCCTTTCCTTCACCAACTAAAACGTGCCAGAACATTATTGATTCAGGATACGTCCTTTTTTCAATTTCTCGTCCGGTATCTGGGGTTTCGTCCGAACTAATTCGGATCGACCTGCATCACGTACCTGAATATAGTGGGTGAGTCTCACAACTGAGGCTACTGCATTCACAAGGTCTCAAACTCAAAACCTTATTTAAATTGAAACAAACCGCTTATCACTTAATCCAATCCCTCATTGGTAGGATACGTCCCTTTCTCCATTGTAAAGTGGTCCATTTGCTAACACATGCCTTGGAGCAATGATTTCCGAAGAAATGAAGAATCAGGACCAAACGCAGTGACTGGTAAGAAACAGAGGAAAGGAAAAATGGTTATCTCGTACAAGCAAAGACATCAGTGATGGGTAAGAAACAGAGGAAAGGAAATGTCTTTTCTTTCTAATGTTAGACTGAATCATTACTCTAAGGCATGTGTTAGCAAACGGATCACTTTACAATGGAGAAAGTGACGTATCCCGAATCAATAATGTTTTGACACGTTTTAGATTGTGAGTAATGACAAACTATTGGCTTTCTAACACTGTTACCCCTAAACTAACACCGTTTCCGATCGTCGTTTCCCTTTCTTTCGCCTTGTGTCTTCCTTCTCCAATCGGCCTTTCCTTTTTATTCTCCACTTTTTTCTTTTCTCAGGGATACAAGAGGGGTTTCCCTTAAAACACCTTCTTGTGATGATTAGCATCAATATCGACTGTGGAATTCGGGGAAAAGCAAAAATGATTCTGTTTTGGAGAAGTGATGAAAGAGGTAGATGACATCCACCATGGTCTGGGTTCAAAGGCGCTGTGAGTACAAAAAAATCTTATTTTACGGATCGCCAAAGCATTTAAATTCATGATTTTTGATAATTTACCTCCAAAGTCTCAGCCTTCCTTCACATTCCCCACTTTTTTTTCTTTTGGTATGTTTGAATTTATTATGTTCATTTTGATACTGCAGAATGTGCTCCAAGGTGTACTGCTAAATGCTCAGCCACAGCATACAAGAAGCCGTGCATGTTCTTCTGTCAAAAATGCTGTGCTAAATGCCTGTGTGTGCCTCCTGGAGCATATGGGAACAAGCAGCGTTGCCCAATTGATACTGCTTATGAGTAATTCTAAAACCAACAATTTTATTTAATTTTTTCCTGGCAGAACATGCATTTCAGAAGCAAGTGCTAAAGTTAAGAAGGACTTACGAGTAGCAGTTGAAATATGTTTCACTTGTGTGAGTGTGAAGAACTAAGATCCCAGGTTGAAGAAATGCAAAATGTAAGGGATTCCAAGTTGAAGTGTTTCTGTGACAAATAGCTGTTCCCTTAACTCTCGTGCCATGCGAACCAATCAAGGGAACCTTATAGACAATTGTTTTATCAATTGCATGGCACAAAAACACAGCATAAGGGTACTTCAACTTGTGACATACTATTTCCTTCTCTCCCAGGTTCTTCACACCCTTACCAACAGTGAACTTTTCAATTTCTGTCTCCTTCTCAACCTCGGTTGACAGTACCCGTATCTTTTTTCCTAGTCTTGAAACACCGAGATCAATCAAGGACTCTAAATATATAGCACAGTACCTGTCTTCTGCTTCTATGGGTGCTCTCTCGCAATCTTCAATACTCTGTCTTGGATTCTGCTGATTTAGGGTCCATAGAAAAAAGTTTCAAAATGTCTGAGAATTTGTTACTGGAAAAAGGCATCGAATCTGCAATTGCACGAGGAAGGAAAGTTGCTCGATTCTCTGTTTTTGTGAATCCTGGCTAGTCAATTAGCCTCCATCACTTTCAAAGAAAAAGATACTAGCATTGCCAGTTAGGTGACTTCCAACTAGCGCCTCCGCCGCATTGGCGCCAAGATCTCCGAGTACGGTGCCTCCTCCGACTTCAACGATCACATTGCCGTACACTTCTCTCTCTGTATCTGTATTTTCTGTGTCGTTTTCTTTTTGAAAACACTAGCTGCAGTGTGTAGAGCAGTGCTTTTTTTTTTGAACAGCGTGTAGAGCAGTGCTTGTTGTCGGCTTATGCTGAAGCTGCTGCATAACGCTAACCTGACCGATCAGTTTCCGCTCTGTTGAAATCGCAGAAGACGTGCTTTGGAGCTTTGTGGCCGGAGCTGGAGCATTCTTCCGATGATATTTTGGCTGTAAGCTTCACTTGCTCTCCTCCGTCTTCGTTTATGTTATGATTTATTGACTTTATTCCCTTTTTCTTGGCATTTCCTTCTCCAATGTGCATAGCAGTTGTCCCACAAGATTCCTCTTTATCGGACAGTGGTAGGGCTCTTCTACCTCCTTTTGAGAATTGTTGGATTTTTGAGGTAAGAAAAAAGGGTTGAGAGAGGACTTGGAGGAGAAGGAGAGAGGCACTCGGAGTCACCTCGTTTGGTGAGGTGAGAACCCATTTTTCTTCATTCATCTTCTGCCATTATATAGCAGAAATCTCATAATTCATAAACACTAATTTCTACTTAATGCAATAAAATTTTTCTACTTAACACATTGACCAATTTGTGCAACTCCATGTGGCTGCTACTCTGCTGTTGGTGCAGTTCTCACTTCTTTTCATTTGCTGCTACTGTTGCAGCTTTGACACCACAACTCCAACAAGAATCAGCTAGAGTCTTCGAATGGCTTTCCGTGTGCTCTTCTTTTTTTTCGTTTTAACTGATACTTCTATCTGTTCTTCCTTTCTCTCTTTCACAGGTTGGTTTGTTGAACTTGGAGAATGAGGATTTTGTTATAAAACTAGTGTAGAATTTACAAACTGATTTTCAGGTTAGCTAGACTTTAGCTTTTGTAATTTCTTTGTTCCTCTTTTGAAATCCTATATTGATATTTCTTTCATTGTTTTATACAAATATCTTTTTCCCGTAATTACTTATTTGCCTCTCTTTTTTTCCTGCTCTGTTTGTGCTGGATTTTCAGGATGCATTAGATTCTGGAAGTTGTATACAGTTCGCAAATTGATGCGGTTTCTTACTGCTCTGGTATGTGCAATACTATTTTGGCTATTTCTGTGTCTGTACTGTAATGAAAACAAGAATAAACAAAGTATTTCTATATTTCCGGTTTTTTCAAGTTGCTGACATGTGTTATCTATATGCTGCGGTAAAACAACGTTGATATGTGGTAATTATGTGGTGATTTTACATCACTTTGGTTTTCAAGGAGAAAGGCAACCATGTAATTTCTGTTCTGCGGATGTGCAGTAAAGTTCTCCAACCTGCTTCTCTGGTGGTTTTCTTTGAGTCGTTATTGTCATCGGCTGTCACAACAGTAGATATGCAGTATGGTTCTCCAACAGTGGAAGTCAACTAGCTAGCAATGCTAGTATCTTTTTCTTTGAAAGTGATCTACATCCAGGGAGGCTAATTGAGTTGCCAGGATTCACAAAGACAGACAACCAAGCTACTTTCCTACCTCGTGTGCCTTTTTCAAGTAACAAATTCTCTGGCATTTTGAAACTTTTTTCTATGGACCCTAAATCAGCGGGAGCCAAGGTGATGAAAAAGAATACTAAAGATTGCAAGAGAGCAGCCATAGAAGGAGAAGACAAGTACTATGCTACATCTTTAGAGTCCTTGATTGATCTTAGTGTTCCAGGCTAGGGAAAAAGATACAGTTACCGTCAACTGAGGTTGAGAAGGAGACAAAAATTGAAAAGTTCACTATTGGCAAGGGTGTGAAGAACATGGGAGAGAAGGACTAGTGTGTCACAAGTTGAAGTGCCCATATGCTGTGTTTTTGTGTCATTCAATTGATAAAACAGATGTCTATAAGGTTCCCTTGATTGGAGAGGTAGCACTGCTCAGTTTGATCGACTAATTGCTCATGAAGTGCAGGTCTCACCTCTGCTGCCTCCGCTAATGTCTATGTTGAACTTCACGTAAATTATTTTTTAGTGAAGGATTATTGCACAAGGAGGATTCTACCTTGAGGCCCAAACGATCATGAGATTTGTCAAGTTCAAGGAAGAATTAGCTCTTCTCCAAGGGCATTTGTAGGAGAGCACAAGACGATGGTGAATTAGCATTTACGACTAGGTCATCCTTCGGTGAAGATCCTAAAAAGTATTGTTATTAATTATCATCTACCATTGTCTAATAAAATGAGTCTTTATTCATGTGAATCTTGTTCTTGCTCCAAGTCATAAACTTCCATTTTCTAATTCGTCTATTTCAAGTATTTCACCACTTGATCATATTTTTTCAAACGTTTGGGTACCAGCCCTATCTTATCCACTGATGGCTTCAATTACTTTGTTTTATTCATTGATCACTTTAGTAGATATATGTGGCTTTACCCTATCAAAAACAAGTTCCTGTTGCTCAGGTTTTTATTAAGGGTGTTTGCGGTGTGGTTTGATTCGAATTTTATTATATTTAAAACTAATCTAATTTAATCGGTTAATAAAATTTTCAAACCAATTCAATCCATTATTATGTGGTAACCAAATCAATCCAATTTAAATCGGATCGGTATAGTTCGATCAGATTGATCGATTTTTAATATTATTAAATATATAAGATAATGTAAAAATATTTTAACAGCAAATAGAAAATATGATTATAAAATAAATTAATATCCAAATCAATAAAAACATAATAATAGGTAAAAATTATAAACAAATTCTTATACTCCTTTATATTTGTAAAAATTGAAAAGCTCCGAAAATTATTCCTGGTTACATCACTAGAGGCACCAAAAATAATAAAAAATAATATAAAATAACTTCAAATTTCTAGCACAACGTAAATAATTTTTGAATATTAAAATTCATTTTTTTTCCTAATGCACTAATAATTTAATCACATTTTCTAAATCCTATTAAAAGTGAATAACATTTAACATGATTATTACTAAAATTGATTAGAAGCATTCATAATCAAAATTTAAAACTTCTAAACCAAATATCCAAAAATAGTAGAATATTAAGACTAATTTTATTATATAGTTTTAAGACTTTTAGAATGATACTTATTTAAAATTTAGTTAGGAGAACCATAAGATTATTTTAAGAATAAATTAGAAATTTAACGTTTTAAAAGTAAAGATGCAAACCAGTTATGAAATAATAGAGTTGTAGGTGAATTAGAAATTTAATAATAACTTAGGGAATATGAAAATGTTTTATTTTTATTTTTTTTAATTAAGTTAATGGAGTTATAATCTTATAAAATAAGAAAAAAAATTTTAAATACTACAAAAAATGTGTTATATTATTTAATTAAATTATCTTTTAATCGAATTTTATTTTATAATCAGGCAGTTTAGGTGGTTTGAAGGTGAAATTATAAACCAAACCAATTATATCGGTTTTAAAATTTTAAAATTCAAACCAATCCAATTTTATATTGGTTTGGATCGGTTTTTAATTTAATTGGATGAATTTAGGTCGGATCAATCGGATTAGATCGGATATGAACACTCCTAATTGTTATGCTTTTAAGGATTTAGTTGAAACTCATTTTGTGTCAAAAATAAAAAATTTGAATAGGTTGCCTTGCAAACCTTTTTAACTCAATATGGCATTTCTCATTGTACTACCCCTCCATATACTTTGAACTTAACCACATTAATGAGCGTCGGAATCACTATGTAGTTGAAACTGGACTTACCTTGCATCCTACAGCTTTATTACCCACAAAATTTTAGTCTTTTGTGTTTCCAACTATTGTACATCTTATTAATGGCATAACTTCCTCTTTATCTCTAACAAATCTCCCTTTGAAAAGCTATTTTGCATTGAGTAATGATCTGCGGAATAATTTTGAGGGACGAAACGGAGGACGATAAGTGAAATAGTTCCAACAACAATTATCAATTTGACCCTGCTTCCACTTTTCATCCCACAAAATCGTCCCTCAAAATCGTCCGCAGATCATTACTCTTTTGCATTAACCCAATTTCACTAACCCTTCGTTCTTACAACTACAATAAACTTCAGTATCGCTCTTGTCCTTGTCTTTTTGTGGGGTATTCTACTGAGCACACGAGTTATCGCGCCCGTCACATGATTTTTCAAGAGCATATATTTCCCCTTCAAACTAAAACAATGGGTTCTTAGCCTCTTGCTTCGCCTGATAACCTTACCGTCCTGCCATCCGTCTCTAGCATTTCCATCTTGGCTCCTTATCCCATAGCCATGGTACCGATAGCTAAATTTAGTCGCATCTATGTCTATTCATCTTTCACCTCGATAAAATTGTTCTTGTTCACTGCATTTATTTACCAAAACGAAAAGAGTGCATACACTATTAAAATTAAGTATATATTTCAAACTTGATAAGTGATTTTGTGACTTTAAAAGGAAAATCTAATTTAAACGACATTCTTCGACTATAGTATCAACTAGAACAAGAGCAAACCAGGACGTAGAAGCTCTTGCAAGCTTTTGGGCATAGGAGTGTTTGGGAACACAAAGTAAAGTTCAGCAGGCATAGAAGCATGATAGCTTCCCACAACACCAAGCTGCCATAAATGTTAATCAAAATAAAAGTGTCATTATCTTCTTTTATATACAAAAACATTACATAAGCAGAGAGAATTAATATATCCAACTGTAGGTATTTTTCACAAAGAAAATGGAGAGAAAACCGAAAGGATGATGAAGAGCAGAACATAAACTAAAATGGAGAGAAGTATAACATTCTAACTCAAATTTTCTCATTAATCAACGCTACTATATATAGGAGAATACAATATTTAAAATAATTCAAAATTCAAACAACTATTTTATATTAAAAAAATAATAAAAGTAAATTTGAATTTGAAATAAGTAACAGCCACTTTTGCTGCATGCTTGCGTCCTTTGGCAACTCTGCAGCCTCTTTGCAGCCTTTCATTTCATTTGCAT